TTCTCTCAAGCAGTGTTCTGGGTGACGCGCGTCACTTTTGTGCTCGTTCGCACTGTCTGATTCAATGTTGACGCCCAGAATACAAGTAACACGATTGGTTGTTCCCACACAGTTTTCGGAGTGGCGCGTGTCACTCGTGTGCCTTTATGGACTGTGTAACCGCATGTGGACAATCATAGCTAAATCTGGCAATTGGTTCGGATCTTAGATTTTCCGCGATGGCGCGTATTTTCCGGAGACATGTCACATCGTAGCCTCATGTTGACGTCGAAGATGCAAGTGCAACCGCAGTTTTTTTTTTGTTTTTTTTTTTTTTGTTCTCCCTCTCCTGAGTGACAAGTATCACATTTGTGTTTTCTCATATGTACGACACCATATCGGTTCCCAGAGCACACGTGAAATTATTCTTTTCAGTAGCGCAGTCTTCGGGGTGGTACGTGTCACCCGCGTGCTTGTTCACATTCTTGAGGTGGCACGTGCCCCTCTGAGCCTTACCACGCTGTGTAGAACCATGTTGACGTCCACACGTGCCGCCCATGTGCTTGTTCATTCTGCATTATCCGATGCTGGCGCCCAAAATGACTTTTTGATTTCTCACCCAGTTTCAGGGGTGTCGCGTGTCACCTCTGCGCCTTTGCACATTGTGCAGCACAGTGTTGGCGCCCAAATTGCAAGTGAAATAGTTTGTTGTTCTCGCGCAGTTTCCAGGGTGACACGTGTCATCTCTGCGTTTTATGACGCTGTGTGATTGCATATTGGCGCCAATCATACAAGTGTCGTGCCTGGTTGTTCTTCAGCCACCTTCGAGGTGAGAGGTGACACGTGTCACCCCTTGTGCCTGCTCGCACTATGTAACCTCACGTTGACGTCCAACATACAAGGTGGAACAACGGGATGGGTAGGCCATGGGTGAGCCGCGGGAAGGCCATGAACAGACCATGGGTAAGTTCTGGATAGGCTTCGTGGCGGCCGTGGGCAGGCGACGGGATAGCCATCCATCTCGAGACCGCCGCTGGCTGCTGCACCTGCGGCATGACCACCGCAGTCTGGGTCCATCTGTCAGACCCCCAGCCTTTGCACCGCTTGGGGAGATCGGGGAACGAAGTGCGCATCTGTTGTGGCCCCGTCAGTCGCTGTCGCACTGTGGCGCACCGTTTGCCACACTTTGCGGTTACGCACTGTCCATCTGTCTGGCCACCCCCCGTCGCCGTCGCACCGAAAATACTGCGCGCGACGCATCAATTGAACTGTCCACTGCGCGCCCATCGCTATCGCACTGCTCATGCAGTACAATTCTTGTATGAACCGTGCGGCGCCATATCGTTGTCGGGCATCTGTCCACGACGGACCCGTCGCTGTTGAACCGGGAAGATCAAGTCTTGTGGGGACCGCTCGTAACCAAACGCTGTCAACGTGCTGGCCGCAGCGGGGCCGCGGTGGCCCCCCTTCCTTGGCACCTTCTAGGGGGCCACACGTGAACCCTACCCCTACCCCCCACGATTTCTGAGGGGGAGGGTGGGGTACACTTCGCTCGGGAGCTCCCGAACGAAGTGAACCTCACCCTCCCCCTCAGAAATCGAGGGGGGTAGGGGTAGGGTTTGCGTGTGGCCCCCCTACCTGCCGCGCAGGAGGGTGCTGAAGGTGCAGGGGTCGAGGGGAGGCAGGGCAGGGCGACACACGAGGAGGACGGAGGGCAGGCGGCAGGCGACGAGCGCGCCGGACGTCGGGAGCGAACCAGACAGGTGTACCCGTGCACGCATTTTCGTACGCTGCGCGGGCGCCTGCGCGCTCCCCACTCAGTGCAGCTTGCAGCTCACGTGAGGCGCCGCTTAGGCAGCTTTGGCTGTTTAGGTTTGCGGCTCTTGTTTGCTCTTGTTGTCAAGCTGTAAATTAGTAGGTGCCGCAACCCGGACTTACCTGGACGGCGCCCGCGCTCTCGCTTGCGCCCGCGACCAAAAAGCGCCTGCGCGCGAATGTCAGACAACGAGGCTGGCCTCTCGGACCGTCGGGGGGAACGAAAGGGGGGGATAGCAAAGGATAGGGCAGATAATCAGCTCGCGCAGCTGATTTTCCCAGCGCCTCCTGGCGCCGGCAGCCGGGAGGCGCCCATGCATCGAGGAAGGAGCCGGGCGGCGGGGCCGAAGTCAGCTGCATGCAGCAGATTTCGTACCCCCCCCTTTCCCTACCCCCCCCCTTTCGTTCGGCCCGAGACTGGAGGGGCCGCACTCCTGTACGGTAGGTTCGTGTCGTGTCGACAGGCGGTGGCCCCGCCTCCGGCGTTCAACGTTGCGGGCCGGCGGCCGCACATAATCGGTCTATGTGGAATGATCGGACGTGGCGGAAACGGCCAGTCGTTCAGGGTGGAGCGATCCCCGTGGTGCCAGGAACCAGCGCCCTGGTCGACACGACGCGACCATGCCGTACGTGGCCGGATGCGTGCGTCCTTCTGTGGGCACCCCGGGAGATCAGCGGACCCAGACCCCCGACGTCGTGATTTTTTTCACGACGCGACCCCCAGAGTCGCCCCAGAGGTCTGGACCCCTTCCCCGGGACCGGCTTTTCATGCGGAGTCCTTTTTTGACGGCCCCGAGGCCCGGTGAGGGCCCCAAGAGGCCGAAAACAGCGAAAAACCTCCCGTCGTGATTTTTTCGCAGCGCGAAGAGGTCTGGGGAGACAGACGGGCCACCACCACCGCGAGCCTGTCGGGGCGGGACCGACCCCTGGGCGGCGGCCCGCCCGAGGGTCGTCCTGTGCTGGGTGACGCTCGGGCGTGCCACCGCCCAGGGGCAGGCCCCTTCCAGCTGGGTTCTCGGTGGCGGCAGTCCATGTTTCCCCTCTGAGAAGAAGAAGAATAATCATAACAATAGTAATACGAATAAGAAGAGGAATCATACTAATAATAATAATAGTATAATCATAATAAGAATAATAACCATGTGTCCCCTCTGAGAAGAATAATAATCATAATCATCATGACAATAATAATAATGAGAAGAGGAATCATATTAATAATCAGAATCATAATAATACGTATAAGAAAAATAATCAACATAAAAATAAGAATAATAATAAGAAGACTAAGAAGAATAATAATAGTAAGAAGAATAACAATAATACTACTAATAGTAATAAGAAGAATAAGACTAACAATAATACTACTACTATTAATATTAATATTACTAGTAATACGAATGATAATGATGATATTAGTATTAATGATACTACTACTACTACTACTACTACTAATAATAATAATACTAATGATAAAAATAGTAGTAGTAATAATAATAGTAATAATGATAATACTGCTGATCATAATAATAATAATAATAATAATAATAATAATAATACTAATAATCATAATAGTAATAATAATACTAATAATAATAGTAATACTAATACTAATAATAGTAATAATAATAATAATAATAATAATAATAATAATAATAATAATAATAATTTTAGTATTAATAATCAGAAGACTAAGAATAGTTATAAGAAGAGTACTAAGAGAAATAGTAATGATAAGAATAATAATGTTAATACTAATACTAAGAAGAAGCGAAAGGACAGAGGCAGGGGCGGCCGAACCGACCCCAAGCGAACCCTCCCCTTCCGTGACGTCCCCCTCGCCTCGCCCCACGACTCGTGCATGCGGCCGGAGGGGAGCCCGAAGGGCGAGGGTGACGTCACGGAAGGAGAATGGCTTGGCAGGGGTCGGTTCCAGGCCGCGCCCGACACGGCAGGGCAGGCGACAGATGACGAGGACGCCGCGCTGGACGCGGCGCTGGGCGGCCAGCTGGTCTCCGGGGGCGCGCGTGGCGGCGACGGCACCGCGGTCAGGCGCCCCCCCCCCGGGCGGCGCGCGCGCGCGGCCCCCGTGGCGGGCCTCGGGCGCCGTGGCTCTGCCTCGGGCGGCGACGGCGGCGGCGGCGGCGGGGACTACGACGGCCACGGCGACGTCGCTTCCAGCTCCCCCGGACACTCTTTCTCCTCTCCTCTCCCTCCTCCTCCTCCTCCTCCTCCTCCTCCTCCTCCTCCTCCTCCTCCTCCTCCCCGTTCCTCTCATCCTCCTCCTCCTCCTCCTCCTCCCCCACTCGTTGCGCCTCCAGCCTGCGCGGGCGTGCGAGAGACTCTTGGGAGTGCTGGTCCTTCCTGGGCGTCCACAGGCTGCCGCGGAGGCCTCCGGAGGCCCTGCAGGCTCCCGAGGCCATCCGGGGACCTCCGGGGTCCAGTTTCGCGATCCGATCCGGTTCCGATCTCTGCCGGCCCGATCCGCTTCGATTCCGATGCTCCGACGGTCCGAGGCGGCTCGATGGTTGCACGTCGCAGCTGCACATCTTGGCGCAGTCGATCCGATCCGACTTTGATTCCGTGCCGATGCCAGCCCGATCCGATGCAACATTCGATTCGGTCTGGTTTGTCGATTCGATGCCGACTGCTCCTGACCCGGGAGGTCTCCGAAGCACTGCTCAGCCGCTCGCAGAGGGGTCAGGGGGAGGATGGAAGGCTTCTTAGAAGCACCCCTGCTCCTTAGAAGGCGGGGGCCTCGTCTGTGAGTGTAGGGCCAGCGCCTTCCAAGAAGCGGCCTCCTAAGAAGCCTTCCCCCCTCCCACCCTACCCCTCCTCCTCCTCGTCCTCCTCCTCCTCCTCCTCGTCCTCCTCCTCCTCCTCCTCGTCCACCTCCACCTCCACCTCCTCCTCCTCCTCATCCTGGACTGCTGAGTCGAGCGTGTGCCTGCCAGCGAATGCTGGTAAATGACACCTGGCTGGCGCGCTATTCTGCGTCGACGCCGACGCCGTTCGTCGAGGGCCAGCCGGACCTCCAGGGTGCAGCAGCTCCCTGGCCTTCCCTTGTGCGCTGCGCGGGCTGCGATTTTTTGCGGTGCCTCCTGGAGGCCATCCACAACACGTTGGAGCATCGCGAAGAGTCACGACCCGAGCTCTAGACGTTATTCTAGGCCCCCTAGATGGGGTCGTAGTAGATGGGGTCGCAGGATCGCGCAGCATCGCCGATGCATCGACGATGCGGCTCGATGCGGATCCCGATTTGCTTCACGTCGACGTCGGCGATGCATCGCCGACGTCGACGATGCCTCGAGGTGGATGCATCGCCGATGCGGCTCGATGCGGATCCCGAGTTGCTTCACGTCGACGTCGCCGATGCATCGCCGACGTCGACGATGCATCGCAGGCGCATCGCCGATGCATCGCCGATGCATCGCCGATGTATCGACGATGCGGCGCGATCCTCCGACCCCATCCGCTCCCACCCCATCTACGAGGCCTCTAGTTATCTAATGGCTTTTGGCCTACCCCGCCACAGTGCCTGGGTTGCGGGTCGGAGTGCTCAGGGATGTTTCATGGGGTCTTCTGGGGCCCCTCTCGGGGGCCTCTTGGGGGGCAGTGTTGGGGCTCTTTGGGGAGCCTCTGGGGGGCCTCTTGGGAGCCTCTGGGGCGCCTCTTGGGGGCCTGAGAGAGAGTGAGAGTGGGCCCGCCCGCGCCGCCCACCCGCGCCCGCGAGGCCCGCGCCCGCCGCCCCGGACAAGGAGCCCCCCTTCGTCCTGGAGTACAAGCGCCCGCCCGCCGCCGCCGCCGCCGCCGCCGTCGCCGCCGCCGTCGTCGTCGTCGTCGTCGTCGTCGTCGTCGTCGTCGTCGTCGTCGTCGTCGTCGTCGTCGTCGTCCTCGTCGTTGGAATTGCTTTCTAAGGGGAGGGGGGCCGCTATCCGCCATCCGTCGGCGCAATTGCTTCGTGGGGTGGGGGGGGTGGGGATCGGGGGGGAGGGAGGAAGGAGGAGGAGGAGGAGGAGGAGGAGGAGGAGGAGGAGGTGGCGGAGGAGGAGGAGGAGGAGGCGGCGGAGGCGGAGGAGGAGGAGGAGGAGGAGGAGGAGGAGGAGGAGGAGGGGGAGGAGGATGGAGGAGGAGGGGGAGGGTGGAGGGGGAGGAGGAGAAGGAGGAGGAGGACCCCACCCGCCTGTTTTGTCTTCCTCACACTTTCTCAAACCCTCCCCCATTTCGTCCTGCCCCCATCCCCCCCCGTGGAGGGGGCCTCCTCCCACTACCCTCCTCCTTAGCCTGCTCCTCCCCCCCCCGCCTCCCCCCTCCCCGCTTCCTCGCCGTCGTCGCCCCGCAGCGCACGCGCGCCCGCAGGTTCGTGGTCCACCCCTCGCTGGTAGACGTCGACGGGCGCCAACTCAGCGAGGGCGGCGAACCGCACTGGGCCCGCCCACCACCGTGCCAGCCCCGCCGCGCCCCGCCGCCGTCTCCGTCGATCCCTCGTCCCTGGGTCGCCAGCTTTTCTTTTCTTGGCCCCCCCCCTCTCCCCTCCAGGGGACTGGACTCTGCATGCTTGCAATACAGGGCTGTGGAGAAGATTTGATAGGGGAGCTTCTGCGTGTAGCATTGCCATGGGCGAGTCCAGCTGAGGCACTGCGGTGTCATTCACCCATGCCCCGCGCAGGGTCGGGCGCTGCCCGACACTGGGTGTTTGTCTGCCCGTCTGTCTGTATGTTTTTCTGCCTGTCTGTCTGTCTGTCTGTCTGTCTGTCTGTCTGTCTGTCTGTCTGTCTGTCTGTCTGTCTGTATGTAAATGTGGATGTCTGTACGTACGTATGTATGGTTGCATGCGTGTATGGATGTATGCATGTAGACATGTAGGTGTCGATGCATGCATGCAGGTATGTCGGTTGCTAGGTATATATGTAGACATGATTGGCTGAATATACGTATGCATGTAAGTATGCATGCGCGCAGGCATGCTTGTATGCATGTATACATGTCTGTAGATGCGTGCACGTACGCAGGTGTGTATGTAGGGAGTTAGATCGGTAGTTCGGCATATATATAGGTCGGTATATCGGTAGGTAGGTATGTATCTATAGGTATGTATGATCGTATGTAGGTCTGCATGCAATACATGTGCATTCGTGTGTGTATGTATGCAGACTTCTATCCATGCACGTATGCATGTAGGTATGTGTGTATGTAGGTAGGTATGCGGATAAGTATGTAGGTAGGCCATATGATTGCATATGAGTATGCATGCATGCATACATGTATGTTTGCATATCTGCAGTTATGTTTGTCTACATGTGTGGATGCTGATACGTATGTACGCATGCACATTTGACATGTGTATGTGTGCATGTGTGTATGTATGCATGCATGCATGCTTGCATGTACGTATGTATGTATGTATGCATGTACGTATGTATGTATGTATGTATGTATGTATGTATGCATGTAGCTATGTATGCATGTGCGCATGCATGTGTGTATGTATGTATGCATTTACGTACGTACGCACGTATGTATGTTATGTTATGTAGTGTATGTAATGTATGTATGCATGCATGCATGCATGCATGCATGTATGTGTGTCTATGTCTCTATGTCTGAATGCATGTATGTATGTATGTATGTATGTATGTATGCATGTATATATGTATGTATGAGTGTATGTATGTATGTATGTATGTATGTATG